ACGATTGAAAGGACAAACTTGGTTTAGTAGCCTAGACGCTAAATCAGGATATTGGCAATTAAGGCTCCATGAAAATACAAAACCCATAGCAGCTTTTTCATGTCCACCACAAAAACATTATGAATGGAATGTGTTACCATTTGGAATTAAGCAAGCCCCAGGAATTTATCAGAGATTTATGGATAAAAATCTAGAAGGATTGGAAGATTTTTGTTTAGCATACATTGATGATATTATTATCTTTTCAAATAAAGATAGGATAGATCATGAAGAAAAACTAATAAAAGTTTTGGAAAGACTAAAAGAAAAAGGACTGATAATTTCAAAAAAGAAATCTAAATTGTTAGTCAATGAGATTGAGTATTTGCGAATGAAAATAAATAGTACAGGAGAAATAGAACTAACCACTAATGTGAATGAAAGATTAGATAAATTTCCAGATAAAATGGAAAATAGAAAACAAATACAACGATTTCTAGGAAGTCTGAATTATACCAGTGAACAAGGATTTCTAAAAAATCTAGCAAAGGAAAGAAATTATCTTCAGCAAAAAATATCAGATAAAATACCTTGGAAATGGGATGATAAGGACACAGAGGTGGTAAGATTTATGAAGGCCAGTTGTGATCATTTACCGAAATTATATAACCCATGCGATCGAGATTTTCTTATTGTCAAGACAGATGCATCAAGGGATACATGAGCAGGTTGCATGCTTGCAATACCAGAAGGCAAAAAATTACTATCACTTGATCACTATGGCAATATAATCAGCAATGAATCAGATGATTCACCCCATATCAGTAATGAATCGAACGATTCACCACTATCTCGATGCAGTAATGAATCAAATGATTCAAAACAATATGACTATACAATACCATTCAATACAGACAAATATACAAAGAAGTTATGTAAATATATATCTGGAACATTCTCTTCCACTTAGAGAAACTACCCAATACATGAGCTAGAGACACTAGCCTGTCTCAGAACACTGAAAAAATGGAAACTAGAATTACTGACCAGTCGATTCGAATTACGAACCAACTCTAAATATGTTACAGGTTTTTGGAGATACAAACTGGATGCGGACTTCAATAAAGGAAGACTTATTCGCTGGCAACAACAACTTCTTCACTATTATCGGCCATATCTGAAGTATATCAAATCAACAGCCAATCCACTAGCAGACACTCTTACACGAGAATGGAAGGGATAATCAAGCAAATGCAGCATCAGCAACAGCAGAAGGAAGAGCAGATACGTGCCCTCGAAGTCCAGCTTTCTCAGCGGCGGGGGGAATTAGAGCAGATAAGGACCACCATCACCATTCTGCAAAGCACTACTCAACCACAAAATGTTATGCATCAGCAAACTATTCAGCTACCATTTACAGAAAAAAAAAATACACAACCAGAAAAGGACATACCATCATCTACAAAATGGTCAGACATGGTAGAAGAAGACGAGAAAAACGAAGAAGACGAAAGAAAATCAAAGAAAGGAAAATGGTATGTCATTTACGACGGACCTTTTTGAGGACTCTATAACAACTGGTCAATAGTATCTCACCATGTTACGGGATACAACATCAAACACCAATCATTTTCAACCAAAGAAGAAGCAGAACAGGCATTAAGAGAATCATACAAGGCAATTGCCATGAAGTAGAAGACAGAGTCAGCCACTCCACGACAAAAATTAGTGATGAAGATACCAAGTATCAGCATTAAGGATATTCCAACCACGAAGCAAAGGGAAGAAATCAATAGACCTACACTTCAAAAATTCCAACAATGCTGGGAAGATCTTCTCAATTACAAGGAAATTCATACTGCCATGGGCTTCTATCCAACCTTTAAGGGAGGACCAAGAGCAGTCATCATCACAGATAAAATCGCACCAACGACACTATTTGCTCTCCATCAATATGGATTAATCGACACAATATACACACAGAAGACTTATATCTTCGAAGAATTCCCAACAAAGTTCAAGACAGTCGTAAAAAGGTATCTAGACTCATTCGCCAAGGGTAGAGAAATCTATCTGCGATACACATCTAGCTATCCGGTATTCAAAAAGGAAGAAATGGTCGTGCCATCAAAAGCAATCATCAAAATGGGAGTATCTAATGGCAACTATCCAACCAGAGATGAATTAGAGACAGCCAGGATACCATAAGACTATCAAGTCAAATCATTATATTCAGTAAGTCAGGCCCTATATTATCTTAACCCAACAGATAATATTAAAGTCAATTATACCAGCACCAACAAGATCATCATCAGCAATTCTAAAAACCAGATCACAGCAGAAGAATGGGAATTCATCACAGATCTAGCCAAGGATTTTATCAATCTAGAAGGAACGTTAGCCCCACTAACGTCGGAACAAAAACAGCAACTTTGTGAACTATTGCAGCTACACGAGGATCACATATGCACCCACTGTGCAGCAGATATGACTACCTCCACTAATAGCAGTAATGGAATCAAAGAAATGTAATCCACCAAGGACAAGAAGACAAAGCATCAAGAATCAAAAGGCAACATCAACTAAAGAAAAGAAGACAATGCATTTTGCATCAGGCAAAGGCAAAGTAGAAGAAGACAATGACTAAAGGATAAGATGACAAGGATGACACATCAAAAAGAAAAAGACTAAAGAAGTGTGTCTGTTTTTCTCTTTTGATCAATAATGTAGTCCATAACGTGTGTTTGTTTTTCTCTTCCTAAGTGGGGAATGATGTAAGTACATATGTAAGTAGGCAACGCTCCTGCATCTATAAATATGTACATATGAACCTCATAAGGGGGCAGAGTAGAATAAAAGCTTGAGATTTCTCTCTCAAAAGACTAAGTTTAGTCCTGGTACTTCGGCACAGAGCGTTTGAGATAATACTCTGGAGACACTCATATCTACCACCACCTATCCATAAAAAACTATACACCAACCATTAACACCACAAAGAATTCTCCAACAGCATTTTCAACGATCATAAGCAATCAGCCTCCCTCGCACTACACCATCATGGGGACGTTCAGTAGCAAGAAGTTGCATCAATCAACCTAAGCAACGATCAGGTATGTCGGATAACCCCAGTAGCAGTAACAGTTACTTTGATTATTTAAGTAAAAATGAGGAAGAAAATTATTTTCTAGATGGAATATTAGATGTCAAGAAAATTAAGGAACAAACTAATTTTACCTTATCAGAAACGCAAAATTTTATTACTAAGTCTTTTTTATCCAAACTATTTGATAAAAAAAATATAACTAAATATGGAAAAATGATAGGAGAAACGGCAGTACCAATAGAATAAACCAAGGGAGATTTCCTAATTCAAATAATAAATAGGGAACAAATTAGGAAAAAATTATCCAATTTACAACAGGAAGAAAGAAATAAAATAGCTTATATTCACATTAGCACGATACAAATCATTCTAAAATCTACCATGAAAACAGGGATCAGTGCACCTATAGAACTAGAAATAAGAGATGATCGACTCATCAATAGAGAAGAGAGTATTATTGCAAAAGGAAAAGGAAATCTAGGAGTAGGAATAATCAAATTCGATATTAATCTACAATAAGGAATTAGTTTAACAGATGGGAATCTCGACTCTTCCATTATTATAAAGTATGAATTGAAAAGAAAAAATTTCATGAAAGAAAACAGTAAACCTTTTTCGGTAACATACCAAATAAACTATGCACTGACCAATAGTCATCATAGTCTAGCATTTAAAGATAAGGAAGCCATCACCATAGAAGATTTATTCAAACCATTAATTCAATTAGAATCCCCTCTAAAAATAATAAAATTAAATTATGATCATCCAAGAATAAGTATAGATGAAAGAAGTTCTTCCATGAGATTAACCGATAAGCAGAAGGAAATGGAAAAAGAAGAAAACAAGGAAATAAAAAACATAACTATACTTCATCAAAATGATAATACTAGTGAAATAAAAAAGTTACAAGAACTAATCGTAGAAATGAGTGAAAAATTGTAAAGATGACTAACACTCATTACATAAATAAATTGATAGAAGGAATAGATGCAATAGACCTTACATCAGTAGGCGACATTAATACGGTTACGTTAGAATTATCTCACTTCGTATCAGATATTGTAGAAGAACAAATGTCTATCGGAAATTCAGAAACATTATAGAAAACCGTATCTAAAACTGAATTAATTACCGATATAATAACTAGTCTAAACAAAATAAAGCAGAAACTAGAAAATAGATAAACCAAAAACAACAAAATGAAAATTAACCACCTTTATTTGGGCCATTCCATGAAAGAAAAAGAAAGAATGAGACTTGTTGCAGAAAACAAGGAAAAGAAAGAATGATTAGACTCTTTAGTAGACTTTTTAAAAATAAAGAGACGATTGAGACTTTTGAAAAAACAAGATATGAAACACAGAAACTTAGGAATTTGGAACCGTAGAATTATTTGTATCAGAGCTAAAATGGGAAAAGACCAAAAAGTGCAACCCGCTTCAACCCGACGGGTTCACTTTGACACCTATAATCACCGCTGTGGAGGAAGGCGGTGAATGCTTCACCGCATTACACGGCCGCGATGAAGGCCTGACCTGCGTCGAAACTTTAAACAAACGTAACTTTGTGCTCGGTTATCCGATCGTAGCGAAATTTTTTTTGATTCCGCATAATTTTTCGAAGCAGGTCAGGCCTTCACCGCCTTTCTCTCATGCGGTGATGCAATCACCGCCCTCCTCTGCCGCGGTGAATGCTCAAATATGCGTAGATTGGGAATTATTTTCATAACGTGTGTATTTTGAGAATTTTTTTTAAAACATGTGTAACTTGGGATTTTTTCCCAAAAATTAGCTAAAGTCAAGTGGTACATTTTCTATTATTATCAAGACATTTAATGTAATCAAACTTGAGTTTGATGTTCCATCTGTTCTTTTATTCAAATATAAACAACCAAAAGACCGGTGTTCATACTTATAAACCTCTCCGCTATAGCCTCTTAATCCCATTTATTTCGTTGCTCATTTAACCGAGCATCTTACTATTAGAAAATGAACAAAAATTCAGAATTACTGAAATTGACAATATTTAATGAAGATTTTGAAGAATACTAACTATAACACTTTTAGAAAATTTTGGTGCTACAATTATCTCGTAACTTAATGCAATGCTCAATGTGACACATGTAGCAGATTTTAGTGACCAAATCGATAATTGAGCCTTTTGTCCTCAATTGCTAACCGAGAAAATGACATCATCAATGAAACCTATAATCCCTTCTCCACTCCAAACTCTCTTCTTCTTTTTCTTCTTCAATCATTCCTCCTTCCTCTCCCATTTTTATCTACCCAGATCTTTCCCTCCCACCAACCAAATAATTGTGAAACCCCATCCCCAATTTCTTTACTTCCTCTACTTCCACAATTCCCAACTTCCAATTTCGTTTTCTCTATACCCATCCGGCGATGACGTTTGGCGAGTCATACGGGGATTACGGCGGAATCCGACGACCCACGGCGGCGGCGCTGGAGAGCTATCCTTCCAGCTGTGCGGAGGAATCCCTGCTAGTCAACGAAGACGAAGAAGATTGCTCATCGGGAGCTTCCACCCCTCCTTTGTGGAGGACAACCGACTGCCCAGCCTCCACGGTGCCGCCGGCGAGGCAGGGGACGGGTAATGAGAACCATTACCAGAGCCTCTCCCCTGCTTCTAGAGCTCAGGCGATCGCCAGAGGACAGAGGGAACTGATGGAGATGGTGAGTAGAATGCCCGAGGGCTGCTACGAGCTGTCGCTGAAGGATCTAGTGGAGCACCAACTACAAATCGGAATCGATCCTGAAGATCGGGAAGAGAAATTTCCGGAGAGAAATTCGATCCACGACGGAGGAGAGATTGGTCGGAATTTGAAATTGGGAAAGAAGAAGAAGAGCGATATCAGCGAGAAGAGTTACAATCCGGCGGCGGCGGCGAAGATGACTAGAAGTGGGAGCCTGGAAAACGGTGGGTTTATGCTGAAAATGGGTTGTCCTGTGTATTTCCTAAGATCGAGGAGCAAGAAGAAGAAGAAGAAGCAGGGGAAGGGGAAGGGCGGATCGGCGGCTTCTTTCTCCGGCGGCAGCCCGAAGGACGGAAGGGTTTCGCCGAGGCCTCTGCTGGTGAATGGGTCTTCTGGTCCTGCTGCGGTGGGTAAAATTGGCGGCGGTGGTAAGGCGGCGGAGAGCTGCTGGTGGAAAGATGGGTGTGCGGTGACGGTGGAGGCGGAGGCAGGGGAGAGCTGCGAAAGTGCGGCAGGATTTAGCAGCAGCAGTAACAGCAACAACAGCCATAGCTCCAAAAGCAGCCGCGGTAGCAACGGCAGTAGACACGGCGGCAATAGTGGAAGAAATAGCGACAGGTTTGTTTCTTATGACAAACCATAGAATTGAATTTATTGTCTCCGGTCGTTAATTAGCGAGCTTTTTTAACGATGAATGCAGGCGGAGAAGCGGTCTTTCCTGCCTCTCCCTTTTCTCCAGCAAAGGTAAAGTAGCAGAGTGAGGGAGTAATATGGGTCAAAATTGGGAAAACCCCAGCAGTCCAATTTCGTAACACACGACGGTAAAAACGAGCAGTACATATTTGAGAGGGACGACTCATCTCTTACAATAATATGATTTTGTTGATATAACACGGTAGAAATGATAATGCAAAGAAAGGAACAAATCTTTTCATATTGTTAATTGTAGGGTTCTTGTAATTAAATCCCCCTTTACTCATGTGTTTTGTTTCTCTTTGGCACTTTATGAATGCTATCTATTTTTGGGGATTTAGGTGCTGATGATGTTGATGTGTGTATTTGGGGTTTAGGTACCATTTTTTTTAGAGAGGATTGTCTGGCTCCAACAAATCAGATATTACATTTTTCGGTTCCAAGCAAAAAATCATCGAAAGATATGTGATATTGAGAGGTTTTCTCCTAAAAAACTATTTGAAAAACTTTATATCGGGCTCTATATATAGACCACATCAAGATTAATTTAAACACAACTTTTATATAGGGGTTACTCTACCGCTAGATGAACTCTAAAACCAAAAAAAAAATTCAAAAGTTGGAGGGTCGGAATCAGGAGCCCTTTGTGGCTCATGACTATAGGTGTCAAAACATAGCCCGACCCGATTAATCCGTCCGATCAACCCGACCCGCAACCCGACCGCAACCCGAATTGACTAAAAGTCAACAACCCGTAACCCACCCGACCCGCAACCCGATTGACCCGCAACCCAACTAACCCGCAACCCGATTAACCCGAACCCGATTGACCCGCAACCCGACTGACCCACAACCCGATTAACCCGAACCCGATTGACCCGAACCCGACTAACCCGTAACCCGACCGACTCAACCCGAATTTCATCTAATCCACTTGAATAATTATAAAAATATACAATACATAGTTTTTCAAAATAAAGTTTTTCATTCTAAACTTAAATAAAATTATTTTTTCATTTCGGATAAGAAATTTTAAAAATATGAAACTCACTTGATATTACGTATTTTAAGAAAATTACAAAAATTGAAACATGAAGGTCACTTGAGATCATGACAATATTAATATAATATATAAATTAAAATTTTGGTTAATTTAACTATTCAATAAAATTATCAATTAAATATAAATAAAGTAAAGTAATGTATTTGGTAATTTGATGTTTTTAAAAGAAGAGGAAAATTTTGGTGTATTCAAGTTTTTGGGAAGAGAAAGAAGAGGGAAATTTGGTTCTTTGAATTTTTTAGAAAAGAAACACGTGGGAATTTTGGTGGTTTTGATATGTGGGAAGAGAAAGAAGTGGGAAAGTTTGATTCTTTTGATTATGAAAGAGAAATAAGGAGGAAAACTTTTGACTTTTCAACATTTTGTAGAAGGAAAGAAGAGGGTAATTTGGTTCTTTCAATTTTATGGAAGAGAAAGAGGAGGGAAAATTGAGTTTTTCTAATGTATGGAAGGAGAAAGAAGGAGGAAAATTTTAGTATTTTTGTGAAAAGAAAGAAGAAAACAAATTTGGTGTTTTCAATTTTTTGATTTTTCATAATTTTAGCTTTTGAAATATGAAACTTTAACTTTTATATGGAGGGCATGACTAGTTAAAATTATTCTTATATGCTTTGAAGGCTAATATGTATATATGTATGTAATTTTTTATGGGCTAATAAATAAATTAACCATTAGTTACAACAATTTATACTAAACTTGATAAGTAATCTTTGACAGTTCGTTGTTTAGGATATAAAGTATATGGTTAGGGTATAAGGTATAAGGTACATATGGTTTAGGGTGTATATGGTTAGGGTATAAGATATTGATGGTTTTGACGGTTCTAAGTTTTTTATTAACATATGCTCACTTGAAGTCATTTGAAGTCTTTAACGGCAGGAGATCCCTTTTTAATTTATGTTTATGGTACGTGGTTAGGGTACAAGGTATGTGGTGTAAAGTATAGGATATATGGTTAGGGTATAACAATTAGCAAATATAACTTTTTATCTATGTTTTGAAAATCAAAGTATGAATTTCACTTTTAAATTAACTATACTAGCAAATCACAACTCAAGGACATATGGTTAGGGTATAGGTTATGTGGTTAGTGTATAATGTATTGATGGTTTAGGGTATACAATCAACAACATATACTAACTTAATATTGTTTATTGAGGGTAAAGCTAAGTGTATATGATATATGCTATTGAGTAAGTTATGATTGAAGTCACAATAATTTTACTAAATTTGATAGCTAATCTTTAATGGTTCAATTTTTAGGATAATTCGAACAATTTTACAAATAACTCGTTTGGCAACAGTTTACTAAAGTTATTTGGGCAATGAGTTATTTTGAAATAACTCCTTTTATCACTATGCTTTTGCCAAATACCACACGCCAAATACCAGATTTGCATGGTTATACTAAACGAGATACTTTAATCCAATTACTACTGAATTAATATTAAAATATCAAATAAATAATTAACGGTGTCTTTTGGTTGCAAATATTGATATCACCATTACTATTAGCTATAATACTTTACCAATTATGATTAATTACATAACAAGTTTGCAAGTCATACAAATTGATTTAACATTTTGACTAGTTTTTTTCAAAAAAATAAAGTATATATATACGAGGTAGAAATAAATTGGTTAAAAACTTGAGAAAATATTTTAAATTAGTGTAATAAGTAATGAGTTAAGTTACTTGATGCGCTGGCCCGAACAACCCGAAACCCGACCTGCCCGCAACCCGCCCGACCCAAAACCCGATGAACCCGCAACCCGATTTCCCCACAACCCGATTGAATCCGAACCCGATGAACCCGCAACCCGACTAACCCGCAACCCGTTTGAACCCGAACCCGATTGAACCTAGCCCGAACCCGCCCGATTGACACATATACTCATGACGCCATTTTGGAGTAAAATTCTCCAAATACAGAGACTATGTATATTCTTTCCCAATATGATGTCTTGTGTGTTCCTTGTCTCCATGAGGTCGTTCGATCATTTGTATAGGTTTGCGAACCCTAAGGACTCTAAAGAATGTGTATGAAGTTTGATTCTTAATATATATGATTATTCACCTTACTATGCTTATTATCATTGGTTATATTCATATCTATCTATATGTTTGGCCCGGTTTTTAGAAGTGCTTTTCGGGTTCAAAAGCTGAAGCAGGGCCAAACACCTGTAAAAGCTTGGCTTTTGAAAAACCGAAAAGTACTTTTGTATAACATAAAAGCAGAAGTTCCAATTTGGAGCTTCTGCGAAAAACTGTTTTGAAAATACAAGATTATCTTTACCATATTTTAATTTTATTTCAAATATATAATTTTCCTTCATTTATATCATTTTAAAAATAAAATAAATTATAAAATCATATTATTTAATATAAAAGAAATCTAACAAGATCCATTTTGACTACTTTTTAATGTTTAGAATTTTTATTTCATATTTTATATTATAAGTCCTTTATAGTCATTTTACATAACCTCTTATATTAAAAAGCACTTCTAATAGTTTTACCGCCAAACACTCAACTGTTTTTTCTTAAAAGTAATTATCTAAAAGCTCCAGTCAGAAGCGGCTTCTGCAAAAGTTTCAGCAGGGCCAAACTAAGCTTATATATGTTCATATAATTGATTGTAGCAAGGAGATTTATGTGATTGCTTGCACAACTTTGGTAATACACGGTTTGATAGTTAACGTATGCAAAGGGTAATCGTGACAACATGACTGGTTAGCTACCCACTATTGCCTCAATCCATCTCCAAAGGACATATCCATAAGAAGATTGTAGGATATTTGATCCTAGTGGTGGAGAAATTCATGTTGATACCTTCAATCACTTAAATGTGTTATTGTCTTTCTAATACATATTTGGAAAATCTAGGAGAAGTTTTGCCCATGCAACGCTTCTCTTTACTACTTTCCCCTTCTTGTTTTGACTTTGTTTTACTTTCCTGTATGTTTTACTTTACCACAATTATAATCAAACTTAAATGTGTTATTGTCATTCTAATACATATTTGGAAACTCTAGGAGAAGTTTTGCCCATGCAACACTTCTCTTTACTACTTTCCCCTTCTTGTTTTAACTTTGTTTTACTTTTCTGTATCTTTACTTTTCCACGATTCTAATCAAACTTAAGGCATTTCAACCTCACAAACAATTTTCCAAAATAAAGAGATCCTCACTATCAAGTAGTGGTGTTGACACCTAAAATTATTTTGGTCTAGAATAAATGTCTCATTAAAGAGCCTCGATATTTAATTGGTTTGAAAAAGGCAAACACAATTAATTATCACTGTCGATGTCACATAGTAAAAAAAATCGACATAATCAAGAAGTTGGTCCTCCACAAGCCGAGGAGAAATCCAAGTTGGAGTTGGCAATAGAGGCTTTCGTGGGACAAACCTCAAGCCCATGTGCCACTCCAAAACCGGAGCCAAAGAGCGAATTAGAGCTCATGGTGAAGCGATTTGCCTGGGGCACCGATGAAAGGAGCTCTAGCATGGACCTCCCAATTGCTGCCCCTTTCAAATCAACCTTTCTACAAAAATCAGAGGAGCTCCTTCGACACACAGAGAGGCTACGAGGGCTTATTGAGCATGCATGTGCACAACTTGCTCACAATCGTCTCCTACCATTTGACGAAAGAGAGGAAGTCAAAGAGGCGAGCCATGAGAACTTTGGAAGAACGAGCTATGATGGAATACCTGGTGTGGAGCAAAGAGAAAGAAGAAGAAGAGGTCTCATGGGTGGAGCCTCAAAGTCGATCAAGTTCACTAGCTCACAATCATGGATTCTTCCAATGCTCATGGCTTGAGACTTCATCTCACCTTCGAGAACCTCAACTTCAAGGAGGTTCTTGGATGGACCGAACCTTGAGGAGAAATCGTCTAGCTTATGACGTAAAAGTAGCGCTTGTCGTGAGGCAACCCAATGCAGGTTTGTGTTAATTTTTATGTTAAGTACCATTGTTGTGAAATAACCTTGCATCGTTCGAGAATGTGTTGTGTATTTTGTGTGTTCCCATGTGAATCTCTCTCATCTTCATCTCCGGCCCAATTCTGTCCCGACTTTCACTCGCCAAGCTATGCAGTAACATCGTTCTACCACTTATTTTATGCAATTGAGGGCAATGTCGAGCTTAAGTGGGGGGGGGGGTAGTTTATGATTATGCTTGTGTGTGTGTTTGAGGGCTTGGAGCCTAGATTTATGCCCAAATTTTAAAATTTTGAGGGCTCAAAGCATTGCATGTTCATTGTGGCCGGTTTGTGGGAGAATATCGTGTTTATTCGCTTCGTGCGAGAATGTGTTGTGTTTTTTGTGTGTTCCCATGTGAATCTCTCACACATCATCTTCGACCCA